GACGTGACCACTTCTATAGAATATTTTCAGTAATCGACAATTCACTAACTTTTGCAAATCAACCGTCGCAAATGAACTCTGATGGGATATAGATATGGATACAATATTCTTATGATATACGGGTAATGAGAGTGGGGAGGGGCAACTACTAACACAAATATAAAGGAAGGACGGAAGAGCGAAGGCATATCTGATTAAAGCTTGTTTAAACAACGGACAAACTATCTTAAACCGTTTATTTGTACTCTTTAATGAAATATATTAACTCACAAATACAATGGACATAAATATCCTATAGGTTTTTACTATACAAAAAAAGAAACAAAGAGCGATCTATCCTAAAATTGGAAAATAATTTTTTACGCACACAGAATACATTTTCAAATATTTATTTCTTCCTTGGCGATTGATGCTTCAACGTTTCTCCTGCACCCCTCCAATCTTATTCAAATAACATGCTTTTCTAAATATTTTTCACATTTTCATATTTTATAATATTTTGTTGGTAGTCTATCAATCTCTTATAAGAATTTTACTTTAATTATAATAATAACAACAATAAAAATTTGACACTCTTATAACGTTTTCTTTTTCATTATTTTTTTATTTTTTTTTAAAGCGAAAACTTCTTTTTAAAATCGATATGATTTCAAACTCGATGAAACAAGAAAGCTACGCTAAACATTTTGAGTTCTCATTTTTCTTCTTCTTTTTCTATTTCTTTTTATATCGAGTATTATCGTTTCCAAATGCGAATTGGTTTTAATAAAAATACAAATTTTTCTTCAATTATTTAAGTTTCAAAACTACATCACATTGTTATTTTTCGATAACGTGTAGGAATACTGTTGAATAGAAGAAAAAAAAAATTATGATGATGATGATGATAGTGGTGGTGGTAGTGGTGTTTGTATATTTGTGTTGATAATTTGAATATTGGATCCAATAAAAGGAAATTCTTAACGATAGTTATCTTTATTTATTGATATTGAATTAAAACATAGGTCGTACTTGATACAAGGCTTCTTCAAATTTATTTACCAAAGTAATAAAAGCTTTATCGATAAGGAATTTCATCTTTATATAAATAATTATTTTACTTCTACATAAACGAAAACATTGATTGATAGCTACTCCTTTAGAATTAGAATTTATTGGAAAGGTAACAACAGTATAAAGATTAGCAAACTTTGAAGTATTTAGTTAAAACTTAATATCCGATAAAATTAATTTAAATTTCGAAAGAGTCCTTGCATCCATATTTTACAATCTAAAGGTGACAATTACATATTCATATTATTGTTGCATTAATTAAACGCGAATCGATTAATGCTTATTTTTAGTTTCCTAATCATCATGAAAATATCTTATTATTCATTCTAATTATTAGTTTTTGAAATTATTGGTAACGTTATGATATCTAAATGTAAAATGATTGTATATAAAATGGAAACGATTACGTAGTGTCTAATAATTATTACTTTAAACAAAAATTTTTAGACTAGCGTTAGATAACACGAGGAATTTCGAATATATATGATATTTTGAATAAGAATTATTGTTTATGCTAAATATCCCCTCTCCCTTATTACTTTTTTCTTTCTATRTGATAAATCACATTTATTTTTGCCATAGTTTGTTGTTTATTATTACAAAATTTAATGCAATTACATAAAATAAAAAGTTAACATTTTCAACAAATAATAAATGATAAACTAATCGTATTGTGAAGAATCATTTTCCATGATGTATACGAGCAATTCGCTTGCCAAATATACATGCTCTTTTATTAGCTCTTGAAATGATAAGGTTCCCACAACTTTCTTACGATTACTATTTATAAAGGGCATACACTCTTCTTTTAGTTTCGAAATGTTAAATTTATCTGATAATATAAAAAGTTTAATAACATTTTCCAGGTGTATATACTTTATTGCTATATTAATTAATTCCTCTTTCAAATATAATATTTGATATATATCCGATGCTACTATTAAATTTATAAGAAAAGCTTCTCCACGTTTTTTAAAATTGATTCGGCCAGTTTTACCAAAATAAATAAATTTCAATATGAACTGAAATATCGCTGGATCCATTTCCCTGATATAAATAACGTTAGTCTTACTTTCTAGCATATCATTTTGTAACATTGCTGCGAATACAGGATTACTTATAAGCATCATTTTATGAGCTGGAAATTCTTCTCCCTCAACATTTATTAACACGTCTGCAAATTTTTCGTCTAAGTAGATGTCTTGCATTTTGGAAAGCAGCGTTACATTTTCGTCATTTACACTTTCGTAACATTTTATTTTATACGCGACGGTTACTTTAATATCACGCATGGGAAGTGGAAGTGGTCCTGGGTTAACGGTTGGATTTTTATTAGAAATCATAACATTCATGAAAAATTTCACCAAAGGATGATAGTATGTAATTTCTGTAAAGCGTGGTTTTGCAACGCAGAAACTTTTGTAATTGTTTATAAAATCTAAAGAAAAAGTTCCTTTACAATCTACGAACGATAGTATTACTTTGCAAAGTAATTTAGTGCCTTTTAATACAAATTCAGGAGATTGATGAAAAGAATCAGACTCAACTTTTTCAAATGAAAATGTAAATGTTGTCATCGTATCTTCTATTTCTTCAATATCATCATCAAATAATATAGGATCATTTCTTTTTTCACTAGACATTTTTTTTACTCTTCAAATCACGAACACCTTGACAATCAATCCAGATTATAGATGTGATCACTACTATATAATATTTTCGGCAATCAACAGTGCACGAACTTTTGCAAATGAGCCGTCGTCGAATGAACTTCGATGGGATATCGATATGGACTTAATCAGTGATCCCAGAAACTTTCGCTTGTCTGATCGACACAGTACCGTAAAATTATCGGTTTCTTAATAAAATTATCGTACGCACGGAACAAAGTTTCACTCTATAGTTTTGACTAGGTTAACGAGGACTTTTTTCCACATTTCCAGATTTTCTTCATGCGAAAGTGCCACGTCGGTCGTACTATCGTGCTATCAGTGCAATCAGTGCTATCAGTGATCTCAGAGACTTTAGTTCGTCTGATCGACACAGGGGCGTGAAATTATCGTAAAAATTTGAATTCCAATAATTTCTGGGATGAGATTTTCAAAATCTGGAAAAAGAGTGCAAGTTCCAACTTTTTCGAAGTTGATGACCTTTTTTTTTGTCTTCAAAACCCTGCCATAAAAACGGCGTACCGCATGGAGAAAGACTTGATCGTACAGAGATCGTACACAGATCGTACACGGATCGTGGTGGTGGTGGTGCATCTTTGCTAAATTTGATGACTAAAAAAAAAAAAGGTCATCAAGTTTTCGAAATTCCAAATTGGATCGTACAAGGCCTTAAATAATTATCGTACGAATGGGATCACTGCGTACTATGGATACTATGGTACAGTAGTCGACTTTTCTTTTCGATATCGATATATCGATATATTCTTTCAATTCTTTCAATCGTCTTCTTATTCTTCTGTTTTCTTGTTTTCTTCATCTTCTTCATTTTCTTCAGTTATTTCAATATTTAATCTGTTCATTAATTGATGATCAATCTTCAGATTCTTCTTCAAAAGGAGGCGCTGAGCGAGCGCTGACTAAGAGAGCGCTGCAATCGAAACAAACGAAACAAAAACAAAAACAAAAACGAGACATATCGAATTATCGTAAATTATCATACAAGTTGAATTTATGATCGTACAATGCTTCAAATTTTGCGACGTGTACGATAATTATCGTACGAATGGGATCCCTGTCCTTGACATATCTTATGAATTTGATTACAATCTGTGTTATTGTATTGTTACAAGTCTGATGTACTGTGGTGCCAACTAACGTTTGAACGAGAGCCCACGATGCGAATATAACCTAAGAATGAAATCATTTGATGATAAAGAAGATTTCTTTACAACTGTTTATCCGATTTATACATTTTTTAATACTGGAATCGTTTTTATCGACCGAAATTGATCTATAGATCATCTACGCTAGAGAAATTTCATTTGATGAATAACCAAAATCTTTTTAAATAGAAATGTTTCTAGATGTCGCGTTGATAAGTCGGTAAAGAAGATAAAAATCATATTTATTTTTCCAATATCCAATTATTTTTACAATTTTTTTTATTTCAAACGATAATAGTGACAAATTGAATTTCATGAAAAATGGATTTTTCATTTGAAATTATAACGAATAGTACGCGGTAATAGAGGCGTAAGTTATTTTACAATAAATATTCGTATTTTGAGTGACACATGGCGTGATTTTAATAATCTAACATTATGGCAAATGAACATATTGATTTATGAAATTAAAAATAAAATAATTCATTCTAAAACATAGGTTCTCAAATATTGCCTAGATGAGCCAAATTGTAAATTTTACAGAATTTATCAAATATAAGTAAATAAACCAAATAACTAATAATGAAATAATAATTAATTTCAAATAAGAAAGGAAACAAATAATAACAACTCTCATCTCACGTATATTACATATAAAATTTAATTTTATTTTTTTTTGCTAAATCGAATAAATTTAATAACTAATAATGAAATTAAGATCATTGATGATCTGACATCGCGATCCGCACTTTGAGAATCACTGTTCTTAAACACGTGTTGTTAACTTAAGATTTACGATAATATATCTTTAATAAGTGATACATGTGTATATAGATATATACATAGATATTAATATAGATATAAGGTGATATGAGGGTAACAAATATGTAATTGGTAATCTCTTATAGTATACACAACACGTATTTATAATTATTTATTATTCTAAACAAATAATTTCCAATTAATGGTCTTAAATAATAATGTAAAGTCGCGGGTGGTCTAAAAATTTCGTTTTTATTCATTCAACCTATAACAATTTTTTAATTCTTTTCTATCAACACTCAAATATTTCTTTTCCCATGGTCCTTACTTTCTTGTCATTTTCCCTATTTTTTACAAATATTTCTATATATTCAAAACGTTTGATCTGCATCCCATATTCGGTAGAACAATAAGAGTTTACTGAACAAAACAAAAAGACTACCCCTGACCGTTTGATTGGCTTACACCTGAACCGGTATGATGTTGAATATGATGGTCATGTTTCTTTGAATCATTCGATTTGAAAAAAATATCAATGATTTGTTATCATTTCGATAACAATTAAAAGATTTAATTTTTAGTAGTAAATTGATAATATTATTATTATTGATCATTATCAATCTGTTTCCTCTCTGCTTCCTTCTCTCTCTCTCTCTCTCTCTCTCGCAAATTTCAAACTTACAAATAAAAGTTTTAATCGATACTTAATTGTTTTCTTATTAGCGACCCATAAACGATTCATTCGTGTAAGGGCTTCGTATTAATACTGATCCATATAAAAGTTGTATCATGCATACGTTAGTTCGAATTTCGTATATAGACAAACAATCGCGTAAACATAAACGATAACACAGAGTTGGTGTTATTATAGAAATTGAAATATTTCTAATTTGTAAAAATACGTTGGTATCACTTCAGTAAATTCATCGTTACAAATGATATTAGTTTGATAATAATACACGAAGGTTTTTCTTCTGTATATTATTATCAGTCAACGTTTCGGTTTCATTAGTTGCAACAAGCTGAATTACTTTAAAGTGTGCAGTTAAATAACCGAAATATCGACAATTCGAAATAAAAGTCAATAGACCGCATTAATTATTAAAATATCAAAGTGCGTTGGTTTTGTCGACCATAAAATATGTATTCATGTTTTCCGAAAATTGATCCACGTCCTTTTACTACTGCACAAAACAAAGGTTTTGGACATTGTTTAACCAATTATACATATATAATTCTTACACCTATAGATGGTGAAACCATTGTAACTCCTTCGTTTTATTTAAATGGCCATGAAAAAACTGCTCATATAGAAATAAAATGGGAAACAAAGAAAGTTAAAGTTCGATTGGTGATCGGAAATGAATTAGTGTATGTCAAACCGGCTATAGTGAAAATAATCATTAGTCAAGATGATAAAAGTCATATAGCAAAATTTAAATTTAATAAGGAAGATATGGATAAGGAATCGTGGATAGAATTTGTACGACCAAATTTCGATAAACCATTGTTCATACATTTTGCATTTTATTTGATATACCATAAATTAAATAGAAAACTTAATAAAACGATACCACTTAAAGTGGAACTCAGCGAACGTTTGAAAAGATTATATAAAGATAAGATATATGCGGATTTTCTAATAAAAGTTGGCTCAATAGAATTTTTAACTCATAAATCGGTACTCTCTGCTAGAAGTCCTGTATTTGCAGATTTGTTAAATAAAAATACGGAACAACAAGACGAGATGAAGGATGTTCTTGTTATTAACGAAATCGAACCGAAAATATTCGAAATTTTCTTGAAATATCTTTACCAATTCGAGATCGACACTATTGAAAATTCTAACATAAATTTAATTGTAAGTTTACTCCAATTAGCAATAACTTATAAGGTCGATGATTTTAAATTGGAATTGTGCAAACTGGCAACGAATTCATTTACTCCTGAAAATATTCACGAATGGATTCAGCATTCTTCGAATTTAAAGTTAGAATATATCAGGACAGTGGCTGTATCTTGTCTTAACAATTGCGTCCTTGCTCAGATACCTCCTTTTTGAGATTTTAATAATGATAAAATATTACAAAATATAATAATCGAATGTTAAACGATAATTAAATGTATTGTACGAAACTTTAGCGCGATAATTAATACTCTGTAATACAATTTTTCATTCTTTTATTTATTTATTTATTTATTTATTTATTCTTTTGATATTATTTTAAAAATTATTCAAATGAAATATTAAATCTCGACGATGATTCGACGATCTCATTGCTGATCTAAAAAGTATATCAAAAGTTCTTACGAAGTATGTATTATTGTAAAGAAATATAAATGTTCAAGTTTATTAGTATTTAGATATTTATGAATAAGATTGTTTTTAAAACGTTAATCTCTTTCCTTTTATTATTATCAACCCTTATAATAGTCGTGCCACGTGGCAACGTGTATTTACAAAGGAATTTGGTATTTGAGACGATAATCATGCCAGAGAATGAAGAAATAAACTATCTTGAAATATAAGTAACTTCGAATCTATATTCAATATCGTCATCTAATATTTCAGCAAGGACAATTATTATGAAAATATAATGGAAGAGATGTATAAACTCAATATCATAATATATGTAAACTCAAGATGATAAATATCATCCTAATACGAAAGTTTCCTTTCCTATCTACAAACAAAGAAAAAAAAAAGAAAAATTGAAATTTCATAATCGTGGAATATTTATTAACCGTTCACATTTGAATTATTTCTTTGGAATAGTGTTCTTAAGAAAGAATTTATTTGAAAGACATTTCAAATGGTTTACATTTAATTTTCTACGTTTAACTACCCATGTGAATTCGTAGTGATGGTTAATGTGTTAACGAAAAAGACTTTTTTTTTAATCTGTTTAATGAATACGTTACGAATTCTTTTCTAACGTCTATCAATTCATTAAAATTAATTGATTATTATTTTTTGTTTTCGTAGACTAATAAAACCGAGAACAGAGAGAGAAGTTTTTCTTTCTCTTTAATTGCACACACATGCATTTGTCTTTCAAATGACTAACGCTGGTGGTTTCATTGACATCGCATTTAACCTATGGGATGATCTTACAATCGATCGAATAGAATGAAAACGATTGATTCCTATTCTAAGATACCTATATATTTCTTCTTTACGTCTTTATTAAATATTATTCGGCCCATAGAAATATAAACGCAATATGATGAAGTGCAATCAAGGCTACGAAATATTTCTATTTAGATCATTTTGAAAGTAATTTCGTTAAAACGAAATAATATTATAACATTTGAAACCTTCAATCAAGCCTGACGAAAGAAAAAAAAAACAAAAAAAGAAATATAAAAATAAAGATAGATATTTTCTAATATTTAATAAACTTATCGACCTTGTAACATTTTATCGAAGATGCAGAAGAAATGTTTTTTTCTGCAATGATAAAATTTTTTAACAATAGCAACAAAATGCCTTTAATCAAGCGAATAATCAAAGTTTCTCTTTATGCAGTATTACATTGTGCATAAATTAAGGTCTCGATATTCATCGAGGTCATATTTTCAAATTTTACAACTTATAAATAATTATATTTATACCAAATCATTTTTTACAACAATCTTCAATTTGTTTTCTTGAATTATATGTGTGTGTATGTGTTATGGACGATTTTTATTCCGAATTTTTTATTCTATTCTCCATTTCAAATTTGATTCATATTTTGATAAATCGTTATGAGATAATAAAAGTATATTGTAAATATACAACTATATGTTACTATCTTTTTTTTTATCTTTGCAAAAGAAAATTTTTATCTTGCATGTGTCTCTTACCTTGCATTCTCAAAAGTAGCTGATGCACTGCTTCCTATCGCACCGAAACCAACACCAACGGCAAGGCCTTCGGGAATATTGTGCACCTAAGCAAAGAATGATTAAAATTACTACGCCATTATTACAGTAAACTTAGAAGATAGATTATTTTTTTCTTTTTTGCAATAGAATAACAAACAGAGAGAGACAGATAATATAAAAGAAAGAAAAAGATAGTAAATAAATTTCTTTGGAATATATATATATATAACGTGTTTGCAACTTAAACAGATAAGATAAAAATAAAAAGAAGATTAAATAAAAGAAAATATTCTTTCAGTCAATAATTTAATGTTTGATTAGAACGTTTCATAATTTATGATCAAATAAATAACGTTGGGTATATTTTATTGAAAAAGAATATTTCCGTAATCTTGTATCCGAATATACACGTGGGTAGATTGAAAAGTTTTGCTCTTAAATTATATTCTATCGATCAAAAAATTCATTTTTATTCTTATGACGTGGTCTAGAAAAACTTTTCTTTCAATTCAACCTGAGAGATATTTTTTTGAACTAAAAAATTCGGAGAATACTTATTGGCCGACATGATACGAGTCAATGTGCGTGATAGGCAATTAGAGTCAAGATATTTTTAATTGGCAGTCATAATTATCAACATTAATACGAATACACGTTGCATGTGAAAAACGTATATAAAAACATTATGTACACGAAAAAAATAAAAGATGATGATTTCAACTTACTGTAATGGCTACAACCAAGAGCAATATTCTCCTCCATTGATTATTCTTAATTTCGTTACTAGGATCTTCATAAACTGTACTCATCTCGGCCAATTCCGATGGCCTATGTATATTGGCAACTTGTCTTCTTCTTGCATTTTGTTCGTAAAATCCTGAAAAAGATCGATATAATGGCGACATTACGATGATTCTCCATTTCAACAACTAATTCGTTTATTAGATTCCGTGGAAGCACACAGGCGTATCGCATGCAAATAAAATATTATTAATTCATTTTTTATATTGGCTTTAAGGGCCGATTTTAATTTATCGAGACTATTTAATTTATATTGATTTTTTTTTTTTGATCAAATTTTTGTTTTAATTAATTCAATTTGCAGGCATAACGAAGAAATTAAGTTTTGAACAAAACATTGGTACCACTCGGCAAAGATTCGATGGACGATTATAGGGGGCTTTTAAACGGGGATTTAATTTTGTTTAATTTATAATTTTATGATTTAATTATTTTTTTAATATCTGTTTTTTTTTGGTTATATTTTAAACACATTTTTCACACGTCACTTTTTATTACATAACACTTTCTTCGGCACAGACACATCACACGCGTTTCAATTCACGTTATTTAATAACATGAGTCTTTTTGTTTTTTTTTTTTAATTTTCTTTAAAGTTGAGTTTTATAATTTTGTTAAATTGTTTTTTAAACGCAGAGAATCTGAGCCTATGGGTGGTACCAGTTATATTAATTATGATATATCTACCGTGCATGCATTTATAGATCTCTATAGAAGTATGTAGTAATTCTCACTAATAGACTAATCTAAATATTAAAAATATACATTAACAAACTATTTAGTATCAAAATAACGTGTCTCAAAACGGATTTAATTTCAGGAATAAGCATTATTAATAAAATTACAATATGTTGTGTAGGTTGGTTGTTTGAAAAATAATTTCAATTTTTCCAATAACAAAATGTACGATCAAACTTATACGAGATTGGGTTGAAAAGTTTTGAGTTTCAACAAAAACAAGAAAAAAGAACATTAATTTATAAAACATAACAAGAGAATTTTAACAAACAAAAATAAACTTTTCAACCTTTAATCGCGTATATTTAATTTTGTACAGCAATTAATTCTTCTTTTCTTTCACATTCTCTTTTTATACATAAAATGTGTATATTTTGTATTAGAAATCAAACAAATAGAAATAGAAATAATTATTATTGTAAAAGAAGATGCTTATTCCTGGTTTTTAAAGTTAGTTCGAAACGTTCGCCTTATACGAGGACACAAAGCAAAAAGAGGGGCGAGTATACAGCGACGTTCGTCTTCTCCTTTTTTCTTTCCCATTTCTCTTTCCCTTTTTTCACGACAACGATGATAATAATAATTCATAATTAATAAATAATAAGAACTAATAATAATAATTATAATTATAATTATAATAATAGTAATAGTAATAATAATAATAATAATAATATTAATAATAATAATAATAGTAATAATAATAATGATAAATTAGGCATACACGTATACGTACACTGGATTGGCTAATAAATAATATTGGAATTTGAAGCTATTTACATTGAAATAAACGACCTTATTATTTTGCATTGAAAAAATCTTTCTTATCTTATATCCAATTACAAATAAAACTATCTATCTTGAGTAATTACTGTTTATTACAAATCTTTTTAATACTTTCTATTTACGAATAAAGAAATAATTAAATAATAAAAATATATTTTTTCATTTCGAACTAATGATACCCGTTATAAAAGAATATTACTTTATCTAAAACTTAAAATATTTTCTTTCTATGAAAATAAATAACATTATAAGTATACATTGTTTAATTAAAAATTCTATTAACATTTAATATATCAAAATAAAAAATCCTATTATCTGTTTTAGACTAAAAATTCCGATATTACTTGTTGATCAACTCAATTTAATACAATCATAAATACATGTGTGTATGTATGTATGTGCGTATACTCGTATGCCATTTAAAAGATTATAGATATTATAATTAAATAATATCAAAAATATATAAAGAAATGTATAATAATTAAATTATAAAAATAATCGTAAGAACAAAACCGTTCATCATCCCATTATTGTTGGTAAAGCCTATAGAGAGAAGTGGTTGTAAGAAGAAAAAAAGGCGAAATACCATCGATAGTAGTCGAATCGACATGAGTGTACATCATTCCACCGGAAATCTGTACGTCGTTAAACGTATCGATATCGTCTAAGTCCTCGTCACTCTTTAGTTTTGCAAGGACCTTGCCTCTTTGTTTCGTACCGACTGACTGCATAGCTAAAAGCACATTGGGGGACTGAATGCCAAGGGAAGATATCAACACGTCCGTTCCGTATACGAATGCCGCGCCTATGAGAAACCCAACTCCGACCGGTACGAACGCGTATTCCCCTTCGGCTCCATAAATTTTGCTCTCCGTAGCCATTTCAATAGCTGGCGCCAACAAGGACCAATAGCTTGCTGCTACCATCACGCCACCGGCAAATCCAAGACTGATGTCCAATAGTTTTCGCTGAAAACAATCGTTACAATCGTTACAATCGTTACTACAAGTATGAACTGTATTTTCTTTTCTCTATTTTTATACATTTTTCAAAATAAATGAAATTATTTGAAATATCGTTCTCTAAATTATCAAATTTCGTATGAACAAACAATTGACCCATATGGTAATTGTTACCCCGTTCGATAATGCATATGCACGAGCCAATTTTCTACGTAAAACGATACTCGAGTAATAAAAGGGGATGTAAAAAGATACAAGGATGGTTTAACTAGTTTTCAATTTAACATAGAAACAATTTTATTTAAACGTTTAATTTGTTTCCTTTCAAACTACTTCAAACTCGCTTTAAAAGGGCCATTTGTTTACTTTACGTTATTACACTATTGCGTAGGTTATTGATATCGTTGTATCTCAGTTTTATTTTTGAAATATCTTATCAATTATCAATCTTACGTCACGAGCTTATCAATATTTTCTCAAAATTAAAAACGATCTTTTGATATTACGGAAACAAAATGCGTCATTCCATTTAAGAAATTTGAGTTGGGATTCATACGATCCTCGAGGACCATCATTTAATTATGAAGAAATTCAACGACGACATCCCATTATCATTCATGAATCTTTACAGAAAAAAATGATGTGATCGTTATTAACGTTCCACCATGTATAAACATATGGACATGTATTTTTGATTATTTTCTATTTTTTTTTTTTTTTGTTAAGAGAAAAGACCGGATCAACTGGAACCGATGGACAAAAGATAATGTCACCTAACCAGTTTGACTTTAATTTATTGAAATACTCCAACAAATATCATAATAATCGAATGAATAAATAAGTAGTTATTTTATAATAATAATTAATAAATCATGATTAAAATATATTATTTTTTCTCACTCTATAAATTAGCACATTTTTTTTGAAGCATATCATTTAGATCAGGCGGAGTAATATATTCATATACCTATATCCGGCTTTATGCCAATTCAAGATGTAAGTATATATATACGTATATATAATATATGCAGTAGGACGAGATGATCGCTCGATGACCTTTCTACGAGAAACGGGACACGTTTACCGATCGTTCATGACTCTCAAGTGATCATTATCGATACTTTATTTTTACGATAGTAATCATTATGCACTTTCTTATGCACAATATATATGCATACGCGTATACATCATTTCTACGGATTGATAAATTAATGAATAATCGTTTCAACAATATATAAAGAAGGACCTTGATTAGTCAATAAAATCAGAGAATAAATGACCCGGATAACCATGATCTCGCTTAATCAAAATTTCGGATAAATGTGATTCAATTAATCGAAGTCTTACTCGTTGAATCGTTTAAACGATTGTACTCGAAGTAATCAACAATATTTTGAAAAAATATTATTATTATTATTATTATTATTTGTTGAAAATAATTTCTTAATGCAATATTCTTAAAGAGAAAAACAATCGTTGATATATTTAGACTTAAAGATAAAAATTGATTATAGTAGTGGTAGCAAACAAAGATAATATATTTTGATGGAGGTTAGGTGCCCTTTTTGATCATCGTGAACGAAGATGACGACGACACACGATGTCTCGGATCACACACAATGAAGAGAATTAATATAAAGAGTAATGTGCGTCTCATTTCCCCCGATTGATAAAGAACGCTTATAGGTTGATGTAATAGGGAAGCGTTCGATGCACGCATACTGTGCTCTATTTAAAACGAGCCTAAGTCCTTGAAACTTATTAGTTTGGCGAACCGAAAAAGTATATGTTTTCGAAGTATATTTGAACTATCGAATGTTCTATTAAAATTTGAGTCAACAAAGATTCATTTCTAAATGCATATTATATAATGATTGAATTAATTCGATGAATGAAAAAAAGGCGCGAATTTCAAAAAGAAATTAAATATGGAGAAATAAACCGCCTTTTTTGGTCAATACCATCGGGTAAGGTTAGATGTTTAGATTTTTGAACGTAACATTGTTGACATTTGTAGCATTGGATATACGGGCTCAATTAAGTAGGATTAAAAGATGATTGATTATGATAAAGAATATATGATATGACGATGATGATAAGTATAATAATAATAATAATAATAATAATAATAATAATAAAAATAATGAAAATAAGAAGATAAAAATAATAATACCTGTTTCCCGCGTATAACTACGACAAGCGCGGCACCCGCTGCCGTAAGGGCCCACGTGAAGAGTGTCCCTAAAAGGGCCTGTACAATTGGTGAATATTCCTTCAACATCTTTCCTTCTCTTTCAATTGATTTTGTTAACTCCTCTCTCTTCTCTTCTCTTCCTCTTTCACCAAATAATTCAATTCGTAGGAACACGTTGCATTACTATCATCCGAGCAAATAAACCCGAAGCGAACGTGTGCCACGAGAAAACTGTTTCGCGGGAAGCGAAAATCACAAACGGCAAACCACACTCAGTCCCCCGCGCTTATCTTAGCTGCCACCACTGTTACTACTACTAATGCTGATACTGTAACTCCATTACCACCTCCACTACTACCTCCAACACCAACATCATTACACCACTAAACATCGTTTCACCATTCCAACGCGACACTCTGGCAAAACCTAAGTATTATATGCTTATTCGTTTCCTTTGATTAAACACCACTACCACTATCAACACCACCTACCACTCTTCTACTGTCTACTACTACTATTAATACCAAACTACCGCCTACACTACTTGTTATCTTTGTTTCATACATCAATGTTACTCATCCCGATCTGACCGATTAATACACGCGCGCTTTTCTCGCACTCTCTCTCTTTCTCTTTTTTCAGATCTACGCCCTTGGATCTGTCAATTCTAACTTTCGAGTCCACCACACATTTAGGAAAACGTTCCTCGTTCGTTACACCATATATGAAGAACCACGATCGAAGCGCCATCTTCCTCTCTCTCTCTCTCTCTTTTTAACCTTATCTTTTTTTTTTACCTGCCACCTTGCAACCTTGCCATTACACACGATTGGTCGATTGGTGTGCCATCGACCAGCCATGTTTAACAAACATTTTATTAAAATTTTATATGAGAAATTCATTTCACAATTAGATTGTATAATATTTTAATTATGATTTATCAATAATTTATTTTTATCTATTAGAAAATTATTCTCCATATTTTACAAATTTTTGACCATTTCATTAAATATCGATTTATGATAAAGTAGGCAATTATTAATTCGTTTAATATCTATTATATATAAATATAATTCTAAGTTTTGTTTAATATTTACGTTAGTTTTATTGCAAAAATATCATTTCTCATGATATTTATTTTCTAGTAATAATTATTGATTGATATTACTACAAAAAAATGTTCTCAGTACTCATAAAAGATAATCTATAAAAAGTTAACCATTACTAATCTCAACTATTGCATTTATTTGTTATTTTTTCATTTCGTTTTTAGAAAATATTGATAATTGTAACTATTATCAGTTTTATTATATTATCATGACAATATTTTTACCCAATTGATAAGTAGAAAATAACATTGCAAATATTCTTCTTCAGCTCGACGATCCGTTCGTTACCGCGAAAACGTAGCCGCCATGTTTAAAATGATTTGATTGGATGCTATCTTTTGTCTACTTGGTCACGTGATCTCAAAGAACAAATTAAAATATATATAATTAAATATAAATATATATTATTATTATTTAATGACAAAATGTGATAATTCATTTAATTTTAATATTATAATGAATTATTTGAATGAATTTTCTTTAATATCGTTCTTTATTTAAATTAGATTTTTCTTTGATATTTCGCGCGTGGAACACACAGTAGTGCTGCAGTCGCGATTGGTGTTAGCAGACGACAAAACGCGTCGTGTTGTCAATGCGTCTGTCAACTAATGTGCAAACATGGCGTCTGCTTCGGTAGGTGCATGAGAGAAAATCCTGCGTTTTTAGTGTATCTTCATACTAAAATACTGCTAACGTGCTTCGATCGTAGTATCTAATTATATGTTTATGCTTAGAACGAGATATAAAAAAAACCGAGACGTTTTTTGTCGAAGAAGCCGAAATATCTCGTTAGGCTAGCTCGTTGGAAGATCTTTACTGACATATCCATAAAGAATTACCGTATGTATTACTTGATAGAGGATAAAATCGGTCTAATACATCGGTCGATACATTCGAGATAACCTGACGATATTATTATTTTATTTTTCTTTCTTAATTTGTTTTAAACAAAACGTTCGTTTTTCTTTGCTCGTTTCGCTCGATTGCTCAATTTGCATATTATATCATCATCTTATTTTACTTCTAATTCATTGTTTAATTTAATTGTAATAAAAAAAGAAAGATTATTTGTTTATGTCGGTTTTTAGGTACCTTTACTGATGGATGACGATACCATAGCCTTCGGAGAAGAGGATGAAGCTGTCCGTAGCGACAAACTCAAGTACGCATTATTTAAATAAGACATAGGAGGAAATATCTTTATTTATGAAATATAAAACATGTTATTTTTCATCTTAGGCATCCATACGTTACCATATTCCATCTGGTATTTAGAATATCAGCTATAGTAGTTTATATGATGTGTCAATTATTTTCCAATAGTTTTATCGCTAGCTTTGTTGTTGTTGTACTTCTTTTGTCGATGGATTTTTGGACAGTTAAAAATATAACCGGAAGACTGATGGTGGGACTTAGATGGTGGAATTACATAGACGACAATGGGAAGAGCAACTGGGTATTTGAATCTAAAAAGGTTTGGTTGATTCTTTTGTTTTTAACGAACCTTCTTCAAATATATATTATATTTCTTCTTCGTGAATTATAGTTTATTTTAACTGGTATACCTTCAAAAATATAGTTCAAGGTTATCGAGTAGAGATAATATTTTTATCCTTGATGCTTTCATTCCTTTCTCTTATTAATATTTATTTCACCTTAGAGTCGATAATTTGAACGTTATGCAAATTTTAATAATAAGCGACTATTCATAAGGATGATTATTGTCAAGAGATTGCTGCAAATTTCTGTTATGTGCCCTGTGTTTCAGGGTCCCCAACAGAATCGTATTAATGTGGCAGAGGCACGTATCTTTTGGTTGGCATTGATACTCTGTCCACTTTTGTGGTCGGTATTATTTGTCACCGCCTTGTTTCGTTTAAATTTTCAATGGCTGTTACTCGTATGTATTGCTATCATTTTAAATGGAGCCAATCTATACGGATATGTGAAATGTAAAATGGGAGGTGATCGGTACATTTCAACAGCTACCAGTGATTTCTTTAGGAAACAATTTATACAAAATGTTAGTATAATATAATATTTAGTGATCAATAGGAAAGGATAGGAATACAGAATGTTGTTTGTTTTTTAAGGTTGCATCGATGATGACGAGGAGTCCAGCAACAAACAATCCAAATCAACAAACTAATGTAATATAAAAAAAAGTTCTTTTGTAAGTATAATGATGTGTATGAAAATTAATAATAATGCTGTAAATGTGTACTGGGTGAATGATGATATGCTTGTACATAATAATATTAGTTATAAAAGTATAAGTACTCTGTAATAAAATTATTATTTGAAAACGTGCTCAAAAAAAAAAACAAGATGTAATTATTTTAAAAATTCCTTTTCTAAATCATGCAAAAGACAATACTTTATGACGTTAGTTACTAGTTTATTGATGCCACAAGGCAATATATAATGTACACGGTATTTCTCCTTGTCAACAGACTCTTTCTATTACACCATATTTAATTTGTATAGTAGTTTTTTATTAGTAACATTGCATTTATCGTATTCACCTCAGCCTGCTGTATTCTTTCTGGCGAGAAGGTATCACAAAATAATTTCCCATTCTTTCAACGATATTTAGTATTTGACTTTCTGTCATTCTATTCTGTCATTTTAAACTCACATTCTTCCTTGGATCTGAGACCATAATATCATTTGACCGATTCATCTATAGATATAGATGAACTTTGCAACTTGATCTTATACATATTACCAAACTCGTTACATATTGCATGGAGCAGTACATTGGTAATCGATCGAATTTTATTAACGTTCGTGAAGGTTGCTCCGAAGATTACGAGTCATAAGTGTTTTCAAGAAGAAGAATACAACAAACCACATATTGCTATACACATTTTCGGTTAAAAAAAAATATATATATAATCAAGATTAATGGCAAATACGGATCTAAATTACAACATATACTTAAAAAGAATTTCGTCGAAATTATATAAAATAACTTAAATATCCCATGTTAGAATTAGTACGTTACAAATACGTGAATATCGTGGACTTTGTGTTTGTAACTTTTGTGAGTACAGATTATTAATGCTACCAACTTATCGCTAGTAATATGTTTTTTTTTTACAACAATTGAACTTCTTTTAACACATTTTGCGCTTAGCCTGGAACTTTGAAACATGAAGTCATTGAGAAACTTGGCAAAATACACTCGGGTAGTATAATTACATGTCATTTTATAGATTAAGAGGTGTCCCACAAAAGTGGCTCCACTTATTTTAAATGCACGTTTTTATTTATTTATTTATTTATTTATTTACTCATTTATTTATTTATTTATTTAATTATTTATTTATTTGTCTGATTTTGAAATACTTCGATTAGAACTTGACGGTGCAAGGAACACCAGAAGAGAACAAACTGTTTATTAAGTCAGTATGAATATGTTTCTATCACAACGATCTTTTGAAAATTATTTGTAACGTTTGAAGTCTTTCTCTCTTTTTTTTCTCTATAAAGATCATTTAGAAGAACTCTGATAAATACAAGGGCGTGTGTTTTACTATTTCTTCTTTTTATTTTTTTTTTTTATTCCCTTTTTTTTTTCATTTTCTTCTATACAATTTCTGTAAGCTATCATTCATGTTCGGAACAAGATAGAATAAAATGGAGCGCAGAAATATTCACACTGAACGATATAAAGCAGTGGTATGTAACACTGAAGGATGAAATTTTCATACGAAATCGACATAAGTTTGTTAGTTATAATAGTAATAATAATAATAATAATAATATATATATATTTACAGTCCAACCACAAGAACTACTAGGATTTTTTAATAATAAGATGTCCGTTAAAAGATAGTATCGGTTGATAATAATTTTTGTTCGTTCGTTTCAACAATTCATAAGTTTCTTTTTTTTTTTCTTTTCATTTTAACTTACAAAAATTGGGTATATAGAAAGCTAAATATCAGTCGGACCGTTTTGTATACGTATGATTTAAATCACATTTCAATGAAACAAGTAAACTTGCTCTTTTTTTTTTCCGTCGAGTCTTTTTATACGAATATAACAATATTTTATTTTTAGTTAAGTTCAAACTAATATAGAAGATTTGTAATTTGTGTAGGAATTAACACTCGCACAATTTATATATTTTCTTTTTTATGAAATATCTTAACCATCGAAATAAATATTATCCAAACGCGGCTGCGGAAAATATATATATATATATATTCCTTAATATTCGATCATCTCAATAATCTTATTTGTCTTTTCATTTCTCCTTCAGTATTCACAAATACCTTACAATTAATAATAATAATAATAATAATAATAATAATAAAAAAGGTAGCTGCGCTGTTAAACGTTATTATTATGTGGTCATACAACATGTACAATATCTCTTAGAAAAAGAATACGAGCCAACTTTAGTGAGATCCTTCGATACTAGTTGTACTTCTTGATAATGTGAAGTCGCATAAAGTATTTACCTCCATGCCGTTATAATATGTTATTTTCAAATAAGTTTAGGTATTATTTTAGGGGAAAACATCATATACATATCTACTTCCAGCGCAGTAACGTTGACGTAAGGTTTCCATTTTCGTGTTAAATTTGTATAAAAACTAAAGATAGGTTTACATGATAACGATACTAGTAAACGAATCGATTAAAAACTATAAATTAATAATGCATGAACAAAATACGATAAATAATGCATTAAACGATGGCAGTTGTTTTTTTTTTTTTTATTATTTTTTTATTTTTTTGTTCGTTTATTTTCTTTTGGAAAGAAAGAAAGAAAGAAAGAAAGAAAAATATTTAAGTACTTTGTTTTCAGTACAAAAGTTATATAGCTGCGAGTTTAAAGCAGATCTACCGGAGCTGTTGCGTTTTTGGATATATTTTTTGAAAATATATCTCACGCATGGCTTTGAATTTATATCGATGAATCAAAAATGATGTTGCAAATAAATATAGAGACTCTTACGAGCGTTACAATCTATATATATATATATATATATATATATATATATATTCTCAGTCTATATGAAGTAAATTTTATTTAAAAAAGAAAAAAGATATTTATTTTGTAAAGACGTGGCGTATAGAATTTGTAAAAACATCGGGAGTGGGGGGAGGGTTCGATTAAAAAGTATCAAAAAATATGTTAAAACATCTAAATGAAACCTAAACAACAAATGAAATATATCGTGATATGGGACATGCTCTTTTTTTTTGTTTTCTTTTTTTAAATAAAACAGATTATTATATATTCTGATAGTCTGGAAAATATCCACACATTATTATGCACATCCACTTCTCTTTTATGATATTTATAATATATATCTATGTATATATATTATTCATCATCTTATGTATATATAATGTTGTTAATGACAAACGGTGCATTTATGTACACTTAGTCACAATTCCTGACCCTCGAACCAATTTTTTAAATAATAGTAATAGTACAAACATACAATTTTGGAAGAATTAACATTTCTTCCTTCTGTACAAATGAAGATAAAATTCAACGAATAATAAAAATAAAAATAAAAATAAAAATCTCTATTTCAAAAGTACAAATACAATTTAAAATAGTTTATTCTATTAAATTATAAGAAATAAAATTTTTATAAAAAAAATATCTAAAGCAGAAATAGATAAATTTGATTAAAAACGCGAAGCATATTTTTCGAAACAAAATTTGATCAGTTTAAGTATTATTTCGGTATTTTGTAATAAAAACAAATATGTATTTCGTAGATCCGATAGAAAATGTTAAATCGACGATAAATGAAATTAAATTCAAGTATAATTTTTGAAGATTATATAGAATAATAGACGAGGTAGAAGCTTAGATTTGAAAGTTTGTACATAACGGATTCGAGGGTATCGGATTATAATACGGGAGTCCAACATACACAGTGCTTCTATTAAATAATCTTTATAGAATTATGCACAATCTTCATGTGTGCATATTTCTCATTAAATACAGGCACCGTTTCCTCTCTTTCATCCTTCTTCTTTCACAATGTCATATTTGTTTTTTAATGATGTCTCTTACATTCTAAATTCTTAAAACGATTTCGCTTATAATCTATTGTAAAGTTACAATAAGTAATGAGAGAAGATACCTATCGTGCATAATGGGTACAGCATTAATTGTCAATTTGGCAGTATGGCAAGTTTCTTGTGTTAGTTTGCGGAAATTTTCATGTCTCTTCTTTCTTGTTAATCCACATCGAAAAACATTTATTAATCCTTTTTTTTTTCTTTTTCTCAAGTGTGTTACTCGTTACAATTAATTTCCATCGATAAGTACTCGTTAATGTGTGCCACGTTATCATACAACCATTCAAGTTGTTAAGGCTTCACAAAGAGTAACTAACTGTGCTTTTCTAATTATTAGTCTTCTTCCTTTTCTTCTTTTTCTTTTTTTTTCTTTTTCTTCTTCTTATTCTTCTTTTTATTATCATAGAAATATACGAGAGAAACGTTTGTGTTGTAAATTGAAGTTTCTTCTCTGCAGCTGTTAATTTAACGATGGAAGCACTTTTCTTCGATAAACAAGATTCAAGTTTTTCGCGTTACTTTGTCTTTTCATTTTACGAGAGAATCATAAAATTCGTATCATTATTATTATTATCATTATTATCATTATCATTATTATTATTATTATTTATTATTATTATTAATATTATTAATATTATTATTATTATTATTAATATTATTCATTTAACGATACTCTTTTCTATTTAGATAAAAAAGAAATAGAGTAGAGAGATAGAGAGACATGCTTGTAAGTATTTTATTATTTCTTGAATTTTTTTTCCAATCCTCACGTTGTTTTTAAATCTTAATAGTTAGAAGACTACCTAAGCTTCGATAAAGAAATTCTTAAAAGACTTCAAAAAATTTAGCTGCCAAGAATGTTTCCATAAGTGAGATAAATCTCACATAAGTTTTTTTCAGGATATGTTCCAATTTGGAGATTTGGGATTGTACGATCGAAGGTTGTATTTCGAATTTTGATTTTTGATATACGCATCGACGTATGCAGGCATTTACGGGCATTTGTTAACTCGTTTTTTCGAAAAATTTATTTGAACGTCGAACGAAACGTATATATTTATATATAATCAGTTATGGTTCTCTCATCTGAGAACGATATGATCAGATTTCTTCAGATAATATTTTCAATTTTTTCTTTATTTTTATTTTGTTTCTTCTTTTTGTTCATCTTATTGTGATTTTGTATAAAGTAAAAACGGGTGTCTCGAAAAAGAGAGATAGAAAGATAGAGAGAGAATGAGAGATGTGAATTATGGTCGCTCGTATCATCGACGAGGAGAGGAGATTTAACGTACATACATTTAAGCGGCAGTTTTTTTATCTTACCTCGCTAGCTAAGTTAGCTACAATTGCGAGAATTCTTCAAGTTTCTTTTACCTTCGAATTCTAATCTATTTTTTAACGACAATTTTTTCTTCATCTTCTTAATATTCTTCTTCTTCTTCTTCTTCTTCTTCTTCTTCTTCTTCTTCTTCTAGTTTCGTACGTTTTTTTTATGTCAGGATAAAAGTTGTATGTGAATGCTTTCTATATAATGTATATAATTTCTTTTTTTTCTTTTCTTTTTTTAAATTACTGTCAAGAATGAAAATTTCCTGCGCGATTATGTGTGCTGCAACACCATTTTTCAACTATTGCACTTCATCGTCTACCATTATTATCATTATTAATATTATTATTAATATTATTATTAATATTATTATTTTTATTATTATTAATATTATTATTATTATTCTTTTTTATTTATTTCTTTTTTTAAATTTTTTATTGTTTTCCGTTTTCTTTGCTTTTTTTTGTTTTGTTTAAACCGTCTGTGTGATACATTAGCGAATAATTATCGCTTAGCGACTATAAGATAGTTGCCCTTGAGGAAGGTACGAGTAATGTTACGCATAAAAACTACGCTTTTTTTTACTCTCCAGCTGCACAGTTAACACGATATATGTATTCCATTGTACTAAACACGTCGTACTTTAGCCCTTTCTCCGATATCCCTTTCATTCTTTTGTCGTTCCCTTCGATCTCTCGTAGCTGCTTCTCTTTGCTCCCGATTATCGGCTTGTCAGTTGGCGTAATGATCAAATGATCCTAAGTATTCCAAACTGGCCCGATAACAGAATTGATATTGATCCTGAAAATCGAATAAATGACGAGACGTTAATAAAAATTATAGGAAAATTATAGATGATATTTATTGGATTAGTATTTCGAAATATTTGAAATAAATGTATCTAGGATTCGTGAAAAAATTGGGCTGTTAGAATTGGGACTCTAATGTAAGTCTTCCATTTTCTAGGCAACTGTTTCAATCTTTGAATTAATCCTTCGATCAATTTTTTCACGAATGCTTATTTTTATAATAAAAAGGTT